AATTACTAATTGCACGATTAATTACTAATTACTAATTACACTATTGTTTATTAAGTACACTATTAATTACTAATTACACTATTAATTATTAATTACTAATTACACTATTGTTTATTAATTACACTATTAATTACTAATTACACTATTAATTATTAATTACTAATTACACTATTGTTTATTAAGTACACTATTAATTACTAATTACACTATTAATTACTAATTACTAATTACACTATTGTTTATTAAGTACACTATTAATTACTAATTACTAATTACATTATTGTTTATTAAGTACACTATTAATTACCAATTACACTATTAATTACTAATTACTAATTACACTATTAATTACGAGAGAGAAAAAGGAAGCCGTGATGGTTAGAGGGAGAAATTAAGGAAGCTGTGATGGTTAGAGGGAGAGAGGAAGGGGGAAGCCGCGACATGCCTGAGAGAGGAAGGGGGAAGCCGCGACATGCCTGAGAGAGGAAGGGAGAAGCCGTAATGGTTAGAGGGAGAGAGGAAGCTGTGATGGTTAGAGGATGAGAGGAAGCTGTGATGGTTAGAGGGAGAGAGAAAGCCGTGATGGTTAGAGGGAGAGAGAAAGCCGTGATGGTTAGAGGGAGAGAGGAAGCCGTGATGGTTAGAGCGAGAGAGGAAGTCGTGATGGTTAGAGGGAGAGAGGAAGCTGTATGTACTATGTAGCCAATATGACCAGTATATTTTGGGTAAAAATGCTTCAATTTATAATGGAGAACAAATGCTCCTTGCAGTAGCTTGATATAAGAATAAATCCCACTGCTTCTCTTTCCTAATAATAGGGTTCATATATGCTTATAACACGCATAACAATAGTAAAAATTATAACACTCAATAGCTACATAGCGATATTAGGGTCCTACATTATTGATACCTGTCCTATATGACATGCAGCTGTAAGACCAACCTCTATCAAATGAATGAAGGAATATTTTGTTTCAATTCGAATTTTAATTTAGGGAGTGCATGCCCTCCAGTAACTTCACATATACCGTCGACGTGATCACTCCTAATCTCTCATTATGTTATTAATAATAAGACTGTAGCCTGAGCAAATTCCTTGGGGTGGGGGAGGGGCAAAACAAACTTTTGTGCTTTGGCAGAGTAGTGGCAACGGCGGATTGGCGGCAGCTCCCAGAGCAGAGTGTGACAGGGGTAGGTCTGGGATGAGGAATTCACGAATAAATACCCTATGAACCTCGCATATTTTAGGGTTATTTACATGATTTATTTGACTTCATTACATAACCTAGGGGACTGATCCCTCCCCCCCCCCAAGAAGCTACAGTCCTAGCTGGTGTTAGTTAACTAATGCTGTCTGCGCGTGTGTCTGTGCGCGCGTGCGTCTGTGCGCGGGTTCGGTAAACATAGAGATGCAAATAGAATGTATCTTAAAATTTTAAAAAGAATGTAACTGATTTTATTTACACCACAAAAACATTACATATAGTGCCCACGGACAAACAAGTATGATCATAAAGCTAAAAAATATACGTACAACCATAATTATTCTACTCAGACTCAAATCGAATTAATCATAAGCACAACATTTTGTCACAGAGCGAATGAAATAATTGTACAATTATGGTCATAGTAACAGGGGCGAAAACCAAATTCCCTTTAGAACATACACAGGTAGTGCACCCGAGATAGGACCTACGTACTCTCTTTGCCGACTTCCCGACATAAAAACGAATGGTTACTATATAATGTTAACTATAAGTGGTTAAATTGACCCCTACGAATAAATTCAGTTTAGTACTGTGTTACTGTTTATTATCAATCAGCATTAAACGAAATATGTATAGCACATACAAAGTAAACTCTTACTAAAACAGAATCCAAATACCTCGAGCCATGGAACCATATACGTGATAGTTTCCTAATATCCATGTAAACTTGTCCTCCACTCCACGTAAAGGTTTTCCTAACAACAACTGAACCCGATTAGTTCTCACCAGGAGTAAATATGGCATGGATCTAACGTCCACGAACAGTTCTGTGACTGAAATGGATCGTGCTAAACGACGGATTCTCATTTGTCTTTATTAAGATCACTATAGATAAATAGACTATATCCTTACATTAACTAATCGTGTAAGAGTTAAGCATGGAAATCATCAATTCAGTCAAGGAATGGTATAGTAAAATCCTATATAAATATTATATTATCAAGAGCGCATTAACCCGCTCTTGATATTATGGTAAATAAATTCCTGGTAAATATTTTGTAGTACGATGTCATATCTAGAATGAGTAATGCTAGAGCACTTATGAAGGGGGTCAACAAAGCACAGCGCCGTAGTTAGTTCATTGAGCTACACATCTTATCAATTACATGTAGATGAGACTGTTATGAAAACCCCCGCCATAGTGGTACCGAGGAACAATAGGTTTATTAAACGTACCTAATACTGTAATAGAGAAATTACACGATAACATGGTGATTCATTAAGGACTCTACTGTTTATAGAGCTTAACATAATTCCTTATCGTCACACTACTTTCTATTCATGATGCATTACAATTTCGATTTCTCATTAAAAACCGTGATTTTCAGGTGAACATCTACCTCAAAAATGTCACTACACGTGTAGCTCACATAGTATAACATGAACTTTAATTTGAAAAAAGGAAATGTACAATATTGTGTGATTGAATAATTTCATCGGATCTCTATAGTTCACATAAAAATAAGTTTATCTCAGTTAGATCCATAATAACTGAGATAAACTTTGTTTTATGTACACAATTACACGTGCATACATGTACGTGTGTGCACACACTTCCCAGTAACAGCTTTAAAGACTTGTATGAGAAGAGACAGCATAGTCTGGATATCTACTGCGCTACCAGTTCGTTGCGTACAGCTAAAATACAATTAAGATATACATATACAAATTTGGCAGCTTGGAAGGTCCTATAAGTAGGTTATATATACTATTGGCAACCTTCCAAGAAGATTACCTCTTTTTATGGCAGTTTACGGTCTTCCACCTGTGTAATGGTTGATTCATTCATTTGCACTTTGAAGGCATTATTAAACATTACCATGAATATATCTATAGTATTGACTATAGATATATTTGATCCAAACGAGCTACAGAATCTAGCAGTTTTATGAGCAATAGATTCTATCCATCTACATCTATACTGTCAAACACACACATACAGTTTTCCCAAAGAACACAAATTGCTCACAAGTTTGCATTTCAAGTGCATTTCAACAGTTTTAATAACAGTATTTACATCCCAGGTTACAATAACACCCAACCACATTGAATCCTTGGTAAGCACCTCAATTCATCTCAAATTATATAATACTTTGTTACTCCAAGAAGATTGAACTCCCAAATTGCACCCAAAATATAGACTAAAATTGTACCCAACAAGCTAATGCTTTATGTTTTGTTACTTAAATACACTAACTAAGATTATTGTTTGTGATTTCTAATCTGCTTGGATATTTTCTCCTGGTGAATGCTGGCAATATAATTGCAGGGTTACAACAAACATACCAATTTTGTAGTGCAAATATTAGAGGTGTCACGATACACTCGGGTCACGATACGTAGTTCACGATACGATACGTATTGCGATACATTGCTTGTAATTCCTGATATACGTAACGCTGAGACGGACTTCATAAAATAAAAGATTTAAAAGGAATTACATGTTCTTTATTAAAAATAGTTTAGCTTGCCTTATTCACTGTTCAACAGTTTAACCGTGTAGTTTGTATCAGTACAAGGACACTGCGTATCGATTATCGTATCGTGGGCCTCTGTATCGTGATTCACCGATGTATCGATGAATTGTTACACCCCCTAGTAAATATGATTTACGACAAACAACTGTGTCTGTACAGACTAGAAGAACCACCATCACTGAGTGGGAATCACAGGCAAACTAATGATATCATAGTCGTCTTACATGGAATATCAAAAAATGCTCAGTTTTGCAGCAAAATGATATTTCATGTGTATATACACCTTCTTAGTTGTGTAGACTTGGATGGAAGCAAGCTGACAGTGTTGTAAGTAGCATCAGTGTTTGAGGATTATGTACAGCCTTGGGAAGCCAACACACCATCAAACCTTATCATCTGAAACACAAATCAATTGAGAGATTCATCAACCATACGTAAACAAATATTCATAGATGTACGTGTACGCCCACATGCATGTACACTATATATATCAAGAGTAGATAATAACACATTATGTTATTATCTACTCTTGATATATATCAGGAGCTAATAATGACAAATTATTGTATCCCCCGAACGAAGTTCGTGGGGATACTATGGATTTGGCATCGTCGCGCCGCCGCCGCCGCCGCCGCCGCAGAGATTTCCTTGTGAGCGCTCTACCGGCTGCAGTTCTTCTCGGATCATCTTCAAATTTTGAATGAAGATGCGTTATCGTAAAAAACCCGCGACCGTGCTGCCACCCTGAAAAAGTTGCGTATTTGCATTTTTATTTTGCAGGTAAATGACCGAGGGCTAATCACAAAAGTGCAATTATATTTATACCCAAATGCTATTTAACCGAACGATACCGGTATTCATTTTAGGGCAAATTTATCCATATTATAACTGAAACTATATGTCGTTTATAAGATATTACATTCCTTTTGCTTTTAAATGAATAAATAAGAAATACCCTCGGTCTGTAGCCCTTGCCCTTGGCTGGAAAGTGGTTTTGCGCAACTTCTCAGACCGTGCGCTTTGAGTGGCGCTGTTGTGCCCAAACTTGGAATCTTGCACAAACTTGGAATTTCAGCGCATCTGCAGTTTGGGCAACCAATCTTGAGATTGGGCAAACAGAGGTAAACAGGGCTTGCACACACATATGAGTATTCGGATTTCAAATGTTATATCATAACTATAAGGTCGTATACCTTCTTTCCTCAATGTGTTTGGCACCTTTGTATAAATATTAAATAATTATAATAAATGATTGGATAAATATGAGATAAATCTCTTCCTAGTTTGCACCACGCACGCCACACACTCGCTATGAGCCTTGGCTATGAGCAGTTGTTGAATCACCGACTGTTTTCAGTTTGCCCAATCTTGAGATTGTTCAGCCAAACTAGGGAATCCGCAGTTTGGGCAGCACAATCGCTGCACAATCTCGAGATTTTGCAGATTCCAAGTTTGGGTACGACAGCGCCACCGTCGTTGTAATCAAACTGTACGGTAGTCGTTAGTTTTAAAACATTAAAAAAAAATATTTCTAATGGTGATTGAACCATGAAACTTTTTATGCAGCGCAATTATAACCTAAATTAGCTGAAAATAACCCTAGAACCTAGGGGCTACTGTTCCTTTGAGTCTATAACTTATAAGTATAACTAAGTATAAGTATAAGACTATATGGTGCAAATACACTTTATGACGTCCAGTATGGCGGCGCAGTATGGGGGCGCCTAACCCTAACCCTAACCCTAACAACTGTTATTGTTAGGGTTAGGGTTAGGTTTAGGGTTAGGGTTAGGGTTAGGGTTAGAATTAGGGTTAGGGTTAGGGTTAGGGTTAGGGTTAGGCGCCCCCATACTGCGCCGCCATACTGGACGTCATAAAGTGTATTTGCACCGACTATATAGTCTATAGCCTAGCCCGCGTACACGGTACAGTTGCCTGCTAGTGCTAACGATGAATCATGAAAGACGAAGTATGTGGATGAAATTGCGTTTTCTCACATCAAGCAGCCGAACATTCCCTTTCTAGTAGGGCCTACTATCCTTGCCTTATGGGTTTTCGCGCCCCTAAGGATATATTCACTCCTCCCGTAATACACACGAGACATACTAAATATTTATTCAGTACATAGACAGTACTTCGATAGGTGAATGTTTTGCAGACACGAAAAATATCGTGAGCTTTTCCGACAACCTGACTTACCTTCAAACATGACCGCGATCGGCCAGGCCGGATTTCCGCTACGTCATCAGTTTCCGCGCCCCCATGGCAAATATAATTTCCGCAATGGAAACAAATAGTTTGACAACGAAACGAAACTGTCACATAACAAGGTTAAACGCACTGACAAAAAACAATAATTTTTATGATACAAATAATGAAATTTATGACAATAACATACGGAAATACAACAATGCAAGCTAGGTATACATATATAATATATACTATACATCAACACATTTATGAACAAAATCATTGAAAACATTGAAAGGGAGCAAATACTTTTCAGGTGTATACTCAGTAGAGAAAAAAACAGTATCATATCCCTAACATATTAATCAGGTAATCAGGACAGTTTGATGGAAAAAAGAATCTTCCAAGAAAAATGTATAACTTTAATGTATGTACATTATATTTACACTCATTAAATTATGTATTATATTATATATTATTATATTATATTATATATAATATATTATATATTATTATTATATTATATTATTATTATTATATATATGTATTATATTATATATTATTATATTATATTATTATAATATATTATTATATTATATTATATTATATATTATATATTATTATATTTTATTATATATATATATGCATATATATGCATTATATTATATATAAATATACATAATTGCACTGGAAAGAGATTTTTTGCCCCCCCCTCCCCCTCAAATGTAAGCAATTTATTGTTTACAGGGGATTCCATGGCAGGGACAGAAGAATTTGTCATGGCGACGCAGAACTGACACGTCACAGCAGTATTTCAGGTGCACCCAGTGCTGACATTCCTCGATGTCACACAGTCCCCATTTGGTGAAGACAACAGACACACATCTTGATAATTCTTTCGGTTGGAATTTTTTGCAGACACAACATTTCTCATCGTCGTCCACGTCACTCGGGCTGTCACTGTCGTCCTCGCTGCTGTAAACGTGTATATGGTCACCGGATGGGCCTGGTTTATCACCAGATGGGCCTGGTCTGTCGCCGGATGGGCCTGGTCTGTCACCGGATGGGCCTGGTCTGTCACCGCAGGGGCCTGGTCTGTCACTGGATGGGCCTGGTCTGTCACTGGATGGGCCTGGTCTGTCACTGGATGGGCCTGGTCTGTCACTGGATGGGCCTGGTCTGTCACTGGATGGGCCTGGTCCTGCTTTGTTCTTCATTTTTTGTGGCTGCTTTTCTTGCTTTTTTTGCTGACTTTGGCAGACTTCAAAGGGGCGGGACGTGACTTTTTTGATTTGCTGACCCTCTGCTGGTGTTCCTCAATTTTCTTGGTGATGTCAGTCTCAGTAATGGGTTGTCCAGCAACAATAGTACTGAGGTATGCCCTTTTTACAACATGCCTGGCTTTCTTTAAAACAACATTCTCCTTTTCCTCGAAAAAATTCTTTTCCTTTGTTACTCTCTTCTGTGTGTCCTTCTCTGTCTCTCCTTTCTCTGTGTCTTTCTCTGTGTCCCCCTTCTGTGTATCCTTCTCGCTCTCCTGGTGTTTGTCCTTCTCAGCCTCCGTCTGTTTGTCCTCGGTCTTTTCCTCAGTTGCGACATCATTCTCCCCCTGAACAAACACTGTAGATGGTAGAAACTGGCTCCGGTCAACAGCCGACTTGTTTAGAGGGTATATTCCTGCCTTCCGAAAGGAGCTCTGTAGGTTTTCGGCGGACAAGGCACGGGTGTAGGACCGGCAAGCAAGGTCGCAGATGCTGAATCTGGAGATAGATGAAGATGAGTGGGAACGCATGAATTTATGACACTCATTCTGATAAATTCTCTGGAATGGGCCAAAACAACCAACATCAAGAGGCCGGAGCACATGACTTGTGTATGCAGGCAATACAAATAAAATCAAATTCTGTTCCTTGGCCCATTCAATGAGACTTAGAGAAATGTGAGATTTGTGCCCATCACACAGTAGCAGCACTGGTTCCTCCGGAGATCGGACCTGAACAAACTCCAGGAGTGTTCATCCAGTATTTCTGGAAATCACAGAATTGGACCAGCCCGAGTCTGAAACAGTACCATCAGCTCGCTGGTGTCTTGCCCTCCATCAACTCGTCATGCATGCGCTTGCCAGGGAAAATGAAGTAGGGCGGTATGCTCTGGCCAACTGCATTTCACATCCTAGAACAGTTACTGTGGTTCGGTTTCCCGAGGTGACAGCACATGGTACAGTCAGCGGCAGTGACAATATTGGGTGGTTTATGATCCATCGAAAGGCCCTTCTCATCAACATTATAAATTCTCTCAGGCTTCTCAGTGAGATTGTACTTCAAAATAATATCCTCCAAAGTATCAAAATACTGACTCACACAGTCCTCCGATGTTGCACGTGCTCTCTGAAGTGCCAGCTCTCTTGGTTTCTTGAGGTCCAATTCCGGCCATCTGTTCATGAAATTGTAGAACCATTGAAAGCTGAGAGGATGCTCTTTATCACGTTTTCCCAAATCATATGCATAATCACTGGCAATGTTCAAAACCTCAGCCCGACTATATCCATAACCCACGCTTGTAACAATATATAGCGCTCATGCGTAGCGTTGACTCTGGCTAAGTTAGAGGATCCGTTATATGGAAACAATAGAACATGTCTCGGGCGTTGGTAATAAATGGAGTTTACAGTTAGTTTCACTCTCACTCTTATCTGCTATTATGTCTGTGCATAATTACACTACTCATCAAACTAAAGATTTGAACATGGTGTCAGAAGTGCCTGAACTGTGAACAGTCACAGTGGAAGCTTGACTGTACAGTTCCGTACGAACTTCACTGAAAGTTCCGAAGTGGCTCCGACTGGCGGACAGCCTGTGGCGTGAGTTGCCTGAAAAAGGACTACAGTAGACTGTGTGGCAAGTACTGCTAGGCTATGGCTCTTGCAAGCGTCTCCTCACACCTCAGAAGTTAGAATTTAATTCTAAGAGCCGGGGCCCAGTCTTCGCGCGAATGACTGGAAGAAGTGGAGCGGAAAGAGTTTGTATGATATGCTGGCTAGCACTCAAAGAACACGGAGAGAGTTTGAGAAAATTAAAAACGCTGAATACCTGATAGGCCTGAAGTCGCGAAATTTACCACGACACAGGATGGGAGCAGGCAGGAGGAAGACAGAACGATAGAAATTGTTTCTCGACCAATGTTGACACACTACTGTCAACCGAAGAAAACGAGGAGCTAATAGAGCGTTTCAAGTTTAATATTGGCGTGTACAAGGTGACGAAACACTCATTTATATTATATAAACAAATTTATCAACCATTGTGAAGAGCTGTGCTCAACAGTGTCAACTTTGGGGATCTAGCTGACTCGTTAGTTGCGAGATAAAACTGGTATGGGCAGTGTAAAAGACCAGCATCTGAGAGAAGGCTATTGGAACTCCTGAGCTAACACTGTGATAAAACTATTGACGCTTAGCTAGAGCAGGTCAGAGCTCGCACGAGAACAAAATGTAACAGTTTAGTGAGGTGGCAGCCTGCAGAGGCAGAAGCTACACGAAAGTGCGGTATTACACAAAGCGAAGGTGTACGCGTATGTCCAGACTACAAAGGTAGAAGAGGGACACCGCTCACCAAGGGCAAGAAAACCAAACGCTAGAGAATGTTTGTACTGTGGCAAGGACACCATGCTACTGAAACGAGAGCTATGTCCTGCGTATGCACAAATCTGCAGAAAATGGCCACAAACCGGCAACCCATCGAGGCAAAATGTGAAAGTCTGCACAAGGGGAGAAACGCAGCCTCGCTGGAATAGTAAAGGTGGCTGAGAGCAGCATATCAACGTTAGTCACGGATGATTACGATGTGGAGAATTATCATGAGGCTCTGTGTTTTCATGACAACCTCGCAAAGATCACCCCGAAACCTGTAATTCTGTGGCGGCGCTCAGGAGAAATGCTTTGGCAGCCTTGACGTGGTGGTCGACGGCTGTAACTTTCAATGTGGACAGTGGTGGCAACGTGTATATTTATACCGAAGGACTTGGTACCACGAATCAGCAGAAATGAGACTACAAGAACATCCTTAAAATGTTTCAACAGGACACTGTTTACTCCAAGGGAAATGTTTACTAGAGATACATAACCCGTCAAGAATGCGATCAGTACACAAGCAGACTTTGTGGTGGTGAATGAAAAAGTGCACACCTCTGATCGGGAACGCGTTGATTACAGTAATATGAACCTTGGTTACAATACAGGCGCATGCAAACATTCTAGTGTAAGAGCAATTGTACCTGAACACTCAACGTTCGTCAGACACTTGTCAAAGGCGAGTTTGCAGGCTTATCTTCCAAGGGTAGGCGGGAAGATTTAAAGGGACATACCACCTGAGTGTCGACGCCTGATGTAATTCCGTTCGTACATCCTGCCTAGGAAGCGTCCCTATTGGCGATAAAGGATCGGGCTGAAGGATGAAGCTGGACAAGGCTTGAGAGCATGGAGTCATAGCTCGCTGTGACCGAACGCTACTGGCATGGGTGTCAAGTATGGTGCAGCGGTAGTGAAACCGGGAAGCTACCGTATTTTTGCATAGACCCTAAAGACGCTGAAGCAAGGCACTAAAGAGAAAGTCACTATCGCTCTGCCGACTAATCGAGGAGATCTTGCGAGCGGCTACACAATGCCAAAGTGTTCAGCGTATTGGACGCAAAGAATTGGGTTTGGCAGCGTAGAACAAAGCTAGAATAAAGAGAGCTCGCTACTCCACGTGAACATTTAACACTCCATTTCGGGAGATATCGCTGGCTTCGGTTGCCGTTCGGTATTTCATCAGCACCAGAAGAATACCCGCGAAGGGCAGGAGCAGGCTGTTGAGGGTCTGCCTGGCGTGCACAGTATTGTGGAGCCGACATCTTGGCTAACTGGGCGAAGGAGCTCTGAGAAGGAGCCATCGGCCGATCATGACGTTAAACTGAGGAATTTCTACTGAAAGGTGTCTAC